AAAAAAAATGAATTAAAAATCTTTGTATTAAAAAGTTATTTTAGAAAATAGTAAAAAAACTGAAGCCTAACACAAAACATAAAATTAAAGAATGCTCATCTACACTGCCACGGCAACGTATATCTAACAACCCTAACAACAAAATTAAAAAAATTATCATTTTTACTTCTCCCGCATTTTCATTATTGTTCGACAAGTTTTACGCTGGCTGTCGACTACCTAACGCAACCCTCCACTTTTCTCATCCAGGACTTGGGACCTGGCAACGGCAGTGTTAAGTGTGGCAGAGATGAGAATGCTCAGGTGGATGAGTGGCTTTACCCTTAGAGATAGGATACGAAATGAGCATATACGTGAAAAGGTTGGAGTAGCTCCAGTAGAAGATAAGATTAGAGAAAGTCGCCTTAGATGGTTTGGTCACATAAAACGGCGGCCTTGCGATGACCCGGTTAGGAGAGTAGAGGTATTAGATTTGACTTATGTTAAGAAAGGTAGGGGTAGACCTAAAAAGACTTGGTTAGAAAATATTAGGAATGACCTTTCTTTATTAGATTTAAACGAGAATTTGACTTTTAATAGGACACAATGGAGAAAAAGGATTCATGTAGCCGACCCCACGTAGTGGGATAAAGGCTTGATGTTGTTGTTGTTGTATAGTTTTTTTATTTTATTGTAATTGTTGAGAGAAAATATTTTAAAAAAATGAAATACTAAAATGTATATAACAAAATAGTAAAATAAAATAAATAAAATGATAACCTACATTAGAAAGTCCAAAGCTGATGTCCTATCTAGCACTTAGTTTGTGCTAAACTATGAGGGTGTCATATATTCAATTTTAAATTATTCAAGTTAATCTAAGGATGGTTTCAAGTTTGTATCTTAAAGATTTTACCTAGATTTTAGAGTTTGAAGTTTTATTTTTTTTATTTTAAGAATAAAAAAAAACTTTTAATATACAACATTCAACTTAAGGTGACCCTTATTATTTAAAGCATCTTAAACATGTTAAGGTATTTATCTCACTCAAAAAGTGAGGTGACAATTTACAATGTCTAAGAGGTAAGCAAGTATCTTTTATAATTTTTTTTATTCAACAATTTTATATAGGATTTGTGAGAAAAAAATTTATTTAAGTTAGATGATATTTTAAATTATTTAGTTTTTTTTTTTGTAATTGTTGACCCCACTGATAGAATGCGTGCAAAATGAGCAAAATCGATAAACTAAGTGCCACACGTATCTGTGCGGCACGTCACTTGAAGGGTTAAATAACCTCCAATTGTAAAATGGATTGTGTCATTGCAATCAAGACGACGAATTGCAAAATGGATTGTGTCAATGCCTTCTAATTATGTTTGGTAATTGGATTATATATTTATATTATTAGAATCAAATATATAATTAGTCAAATTTTATTAAATCTCGCTATTGACAAGAACTTAATAAGAAAATTTATTTAAAAGAAAACTTATAAGTAAGTTTGAAAATAATGTTTAATTTTGATCCAAATTTGATAAGAAAATAAATAAATGAACTTGATCAATATAATATTCAAGTCAATTCAAATTATTTATAGCCTTAAGCATCAAGTAACAATAAAATGAATTCAATGAAGCCTAATTTAAGAAAGCTCATTATTTGTAGATAGACCAACAAATCAGTAGAAGAACAACAAACCTTTTATGTAGTAAATATCAGCAAGAACTAAGGCAACTACAACACCAATTTCAATTTCACAATCTTCTTTAGCAGTAATAATCCCACATTAACCAAAATAGCAAAGAAAAAAATAACCAAGCAACCATTTGGCAACAATAATGCAAAGATTTTAGCTTTTAATGATTTATATAATACATTAGATACTAAGGGTGAAACATATATGTATATGTTAGCTAAACAAAGTGATAGGAGTAGTAAGGATTTAGTTTAAGTGAAGTGTATTAAGGATGAAGATCAAAAAGTTTAGAAAAAGATATTCAAAAAGGTGGATGAGATATTTTACTAAACTTTTTTAATGAAGATTATGAGAATGCAATTGACTTTAGTGACCTTAGCACCCTACATGAAAATAAAGATTTTTATTTTTATCGACGTATTAGTAAAACCAAAGTTAAAGAGGCTTCAAACAAAATGAAGTGTGGAAAAGCTATTGGACCTGATGATATTCCAACAGAAGTGTAGAAATGCTTAGGTGATGAAGGAATTTCGGCATTTCCTGGCTTGCTAAACTTTTTAATATTATTTTGAAGACTAAAAATATGCCAAATGTATGAAAAATGAGTGTGTTGATTCCTACGTTAAGAATAAAGGTGATGTAAAAAATTATGTGAATTATAGAGGAATTAAGTTAATGTGTCGTACTTTAAAATTATGGGAGAGAGTTATGGATCATAGGTTGCAACATGACACTAATGTTTCTCAAAATCAATTTGGATACATGCCAATTAGGTCTACTATGGAAGCTATACTTATATTGAGAGGTTTGATAGAGAAATATAAAGAGAATAAAGAGGGCATACATATGATTATTATTGATTTAGAGAAAGCATATGATAAAGTTCCAAGAGAAGTGTTATCGAGAGTTCTACATAAGAAAGAGATTAATAATGCATATATTCAAATCATTAAGGATAGGTATGCATGAGCTATTACTTGTGTTCAAACATGAGGTGGTTTGACTAAGTATTTTCCTATTTCAGTTGGATTACATCAAGGATTAGCCTTAAGACCATATTTTTTTGCTTTAGTCATGGATGTTCTCACTAGACATTTGGAAGAGGTAATACCCTGGTGTATGTTTTTTGCTAGTGATATTCTTCTTGTTGATAAGACAAGAGAGGAGTTGAATGTAAACTCGAATTATGGAGGTCAACCTTAGAGTCTAAAGGATTTCATTGTAGTAGATCTAAAACTGAATATATAAAATATAATTTTAGTAATAATAGATCTAATGGGGGATTGTGACTTTGGGAGATCAAGTCAGTAATAAGAGCACATGTTTTAGATATTTTAGGTTTATTGTTCAGAGTGATGGTGAAATAGATGGGGATATTATTAGGAGAATTCAAGTTGGATGGTTGAAGTGGAGGAATGGATTGTTATGTGATAAAAAAAGTCCCTCTCAAGCTTAAGGGAAAATTCTATAAGATGGTAGTGAGACATGCAATGCTTTAAGGTGCAGAATGTTGGCCATTAAAAGAGAAGCATAATATTAAGTTAAGTGTTGCAGATATGAGGATGCTTAGGTGGATGAGTGGTTTTACACTTAAAGACAAGATACAAAATGAGCATATATGTGAAAAGGTTGGAGTAGCTCCAGTGGAAGATAAGAATAGAGAGAGTCAACTTAGATGGTTTGGTCACATAGAATGGCGACCTTCTAATAAACCGATTAGGAAAGTAGATGTATTAAATTAGACTTATATTAAGAAAGGTAGAGGTAGACCTAAAAAAACTTGGTTAGAAAATATTAGAAATGACCATTATTTATTTGATTTTGATGAGAATTTGACCCTAAATAGGTCACAATGGAGAAAAAAGATTCATGTAGCCAACCCCACATAGTGGGATAAAGACTTTTTGTTGTATAAAATTGTATAAATAAACCATCTGGTAGAGAAATATTCAAAGACCTGCAGCTGTAAATTCCAAAAGAATGGATCCTCCATTAGTTTGAACTTCATTCCTATGAGTTACAAATCTTTTTAGTTGTGAATTCCAAATTTCATTAAATGAAAAAGGGACTTACAATCATAGGCCCAAAAGGAGGCAAAGACTAAATATTACAAAGCTTTAAACACTAGAATAAACTACAAATGGCAAAGCAACCTCAAAAAGACAAAATAACCCAAAATTTAGTCATTTTGTATGCAGAATAGTGACTAAAACATGAATGGCCATCCAACAGAGTTGGCAAAGTTACCATCACAGAGACTAGCATTTATCATATTCCTATAACTGAGCCAAGAATTGAATGGAAACCAAAATAAGAGAAAAGCGGCAACTGTAAATTTTCAAAACCCAACAAAAATGTATAATGAAGCAACATAAATCCTCAAAACAACAAGAATAATATCTGACAGTAACAAAGCTTCTAGTAGGAACCAAAAAATGTGCAAATAATAAAATTCAGCCATAAAATAAGCAAACTAGCACCGAAGAGGAAGAATATCTTCTATGTGTTTCTAGTTTTTAATCTTACAGAAGATAAACATTTCTGATCTTAAAGCAGACGGAAGCATAACTTCAGAATTTTCAAAAATTTTGGCATTCCTTTCTCTCTATAAATGGTATAGAGTGCAATGAGTGGATAAATAGAGGAAGTTTTTTTTTTCATTTGGAGGCAGGTTTCCCATCTCATTAATGTGTTCCATGCAGTTGTCAAAGGTTAGGCCTAAATAAAAAATTAGTAGTCGAGGGGAAAAGGAATGAATGAGTATGAAAAGAGTACCCACATTCAAAAAAATGA